TGTGTGTGTGTGTGTGTGTGTGTGTGTGTGTGTGTGTGTGTGTGTACGGGAGAAGTACTGGGCCCTCTCACACGGAGGCAATCACCTGGTTAGCTCCACATGGGAGTTGTCATGAACTAGCACAAACAGTGTGTACGGGTTCTGCTTCACCCTCCTCAGAAAAACTTCAAACTTGCTTTGGATCTCATTGTCCAGGCGAACAACATATTTCTCTGCTCTCTGATGAGCCATCCCACTTTCCTCCAGACCCAGGTCCACAAGGACACCTGCCAAGAAGAAAAGGTTCCTCGTTTTACACATCTTTACGCACAACACGCACGTGCGCGCGCACACACACACTCTTGAGCATGGTGGAGACCAGTATTGGGCACTAACCACACAGGGGTTTAGGGAGAAACTCTTTTTTGTTTTTCATATTCTGCCTAGTTCCCTTTTTTTTGGAACATCCCATTCCATGTCTCATCTTCCTGGTGTAAAGAACAAGACACACATGTCTGCTGCTTCTCTGTTCTGAGCCTGCACTGGCCTCCCAGGATTCCACAGTAAGGAACGGCCACACCAGCTTACCGAACAGACCCAAGGATTCCTGGTGGCTCAAAAATGCCTAGAACTCCAGTTCCAAGAGAGCCAGTGCCCTCTTCTGGCCTCCACAGGCACTGCACTCACATGCATATAGCCACATACAGGTACACATACACACACACACACACCAAAAATCAAATTAAAAAATATTTTAGGACACATGCCCTTAATCTTAGCCCTCGGGAGGCAGAGGCAGAGAGACCTCCGTGAGTTCCAGGTCAGCCAGGGTTACATAAGGAAACTGTCTCAAAATTTTTTTGTTCTTGAGTTAAAACTAGTTTTATGTTTTCCTTTTCGAGCGTGATGAACTTTTCATACAATAAAACATTTTTCACTTTTTCCTCTAATTTCACTTAAGGCTATTGTCATTTGTGGAGGCTACAAATGGGTTGGTGCCATTTTTCTAAAAGTATAAAATTAAATCAGGATAATTCTTAAATGTGTCTTCATTTCAAAGGAGGGGGGTGCGTGAGCAGCAGCTTCACGTACCGAGAACTACGGCAGGCGTTTGAACGTCAGACTTAGTTACACACCCCACTAAGGTCACGCTTCTAGCGTCTTGAGACTGTAGTAATCGTGGGGAATTCCGTATGTCTTATTAATTGGAAAAGAAGCCTGACACTCATGGAGGGCTTCCCATGCTCTGTATCCGTGTCTCCCCACATAAACGTGTCTTCAGTGGAGGCTGGCGATGCCGTCCAGTGCAAGAGTGCTTGCTTGGCATGTGTACAGCCCTGGCTTTGTATTTCCTACTCTATGCTAAATTTGGATTTGTCTGTCATATTAATAAGGCTTATGTGTTAATGTATTCAATGCCTGCAAGCCAAAGCATAGTTTCTCCCCCCGGTGGCCCATGGTAGCCACCAGCATTGGCGCTTCACCTACAAGAAGGAGTTAAAGGAAACGCGTCATTCTTCAGTGTAAAGCTAACATCATTATTATACATGAGGAACTGAACTGAGGCCAAGCATAATGTTTCAGTCACAGCCCATTCGTATTCGTATTTCACTTTTCATTATTATTTAATTTCATTTATTTGTTCTCAGTTTACTCACTGTACCGGTATAAATAAAAACTTCATATAAATAACTTAATTAAGAAGGGCTAAGGGGATTGGGTGTTGGTAACAGAACACAATTTTCTTTTAGAAAAAAGGACTAAGATCAGGCAGCTGGTGGGTAGCTCGGTGGGTAATGGTGTCAACCAAGCCTGACTTGCTGAGTTTGATCCCCAGGGCCCACAGTGTGGCAGGAAAAAACAAAAACAAAAAGACAAAACAAAAACTCCTTCAAGATTTCATCTGGCCCCCACACGCTTGGACTGGCACAAATGTCATTAAAATACTTTAAAAAAAGCAATGAGTTGGAGATTCAATCAATACGGGATTATGTTTAGTGACGACACGTTCTGTTCTTGACGACTGGTAAGCAGCATCTAAATGTTCTTACCACGAAAACAATATAGTGAGATGATGGATAGGATAAGTAACTAGGTCTAGCCATTTCCTGATGTACGCCTATACTAAAATACGGTATGCACCAGAGAACGAAACTATTCTCTATTAAAGAAAGAATAGCAAAAGGGTTCAGCACTCGCTCCACGGCCTTCCTGCCTTTTCTTCTCTTTTTCCTTCTGGTTTTGTATGGCATTTGTGATGTTGCTATTTTGTTTTAATTCAGGGCAATTGTTTTATAGGCTGCCCCAGCCCGCGGGCTTTATTTTAACCACACTCAGGTTAAACACTGGACCTCAGGGGTGACCTCATGGACTTCTCTTTGGACCTAACACCAATTTGGTGCATTCCTGGAGGTGCCACAGTGCCCGACACCAGAGGTTAGGGTCGTGGCTCCTGACACCAGAGGTTAGGACCGTGGCTCCTGGCCTCAGATCTCTCCAGCGGCTGCGGGGCTTTTGTGCAGATGTGCCCCCCCTCTCGCTGCTTGATTTTTTTTTTTTTTTTTTTTTTTTTTAATGATTTGGGTTTTCTTTGTTCGTTTGTTGGTTGTATGGTAGTTTGGTTTTCTTTCTTTTTCTCTTGGTTTTGGTTTTGAAGACAGGGTTTCTCTGTGTAGCCTTGGCTATGCAGGAACTTGCTCTGTAGACCAGACTGGCCTCGAATTCAGAGATCCGCCAGCCTCTCTCTGCCTCTGCCCCCCAAGATCTGGGATTAAAGGCCTGCACCTCTATGCCTGGCTTTAATAATTTGTTTTTTATTTTTAACTCTGTGTGTATGTGCGTGCGCATGCGCGCGCAAGTGTGTGTGTGTGTGTGTGTGTGTGCACACCCATGTATTTGTATGTCTACATATGAGTGTGTTTCTGAGTGCAGGTGCCCACAGAGGCCAGAAGAGAGCATTGGATTCTCTGGCACTGTAGTTACAGGTGGCTATGAGCTGCCTGGCATGGCTGCCGAGAACCAAAATGTGCTCTTAATTACTGAGCCATCTTCCCAGCGCTGACTTTTATTTTTAAACATTATTTTATATCTTTTACTTAAAAACAATTCAACAGGGCTGGAGAGATGGCGCAGAGGTTGAGAACACTCGCTGTTCCTCCGAAGGTCCTGAGTTCAAGCCCCAGCAACCACATGGTGGCTCAGAACCATCTATAGTAAGATCTGGTGTGCAGGCAGAATGTTGTATAAATAATAAATAAATCTAAAAAAAAAAAAAAACAACAATTCAACAGGTTACTATTACTATCCAGCATAAAAAATGCTTCTATGCCTTCCTAATATGTTCTTATCAGTCTTTGGATATCTCTTCTCTGTGTTACAACAAAATATTTCAGGTTACTCTTTTTTTTTTTTTTTTTTTTAGTTTCGGTTTTTCAGGACAGGGTTTCTCTGTGTAGCATTGGCTGTCCTGGACTCACATTGTAGACCAGGCTGGCCTCAAACTCACAGAGATCCTCCTGCCTCTGCCTCCCTGAGTGCTGGAGGCAAAGGCGTGTGTCACTGCATCTGGCTGCTCCCATTTCATAAACAGTGTGAAATGGTATTTATAAGCCAAGATCCAGATGATAAATGTATTCATTGGTGTAAGCAAATCGCAGTTTACAAGAGCTTTCTGTGAACAGAGATAGAAATGCATTTTTCTTCAAATTTTACGTTCACACTTATTTCTACAAGGTATATTCATTCCTTACTGCTCCGCATTCCATGCGGTAGGCTCTCTTCTTTCATGGGAGGATCCTGGTTGTCAAGATTAAAATACTTATCAATCTGCTGCTTCTATGATGTGTGTAACATACTTCTTCAATGGTTACGATTCCCAACCACAAATACACTGGTTAAAATTCAACATTCATTTGTAACCATTTTGTTCTTAAGATATTTATTTATTTATTGAGAATCAAATTTTATCTTAACTAGGGTTGGAGGGATGCCCAGAGCACTGGCTGTTTTTCCAGGGGCCCTAAGTTCATTCTCAGCAGCCATCTACAACTGGAGCCCTATGAAACCCAATGCCTCTTCTGGTGTGCAGATGTACATGCAGACAGAACACCCATATACATAAACAAATAAATCTTTTTTAAAAGAATTTTTTTTAATTTTATGTATATGAGTGCCCCTCTGCATGCCAGAAGAGGGCACCAGATCTCAGTATAGATGGTTGTGATCCACCATGTGTCTGCCAGGAATAGAACTCAGGACCTCTGTAAGAGCACACAGGGCTCTTAACCACTGAGCCATCTCCCCCGCCTATAAAAAAAAAATTATCTGAACTAATTCTGTTGCTGTGCTGCTGTATTATCAACATAATATATAATTTGATGGATTTATTTCTGTTTGTACGAACTTTTGTCTGCTGTTTGCCATTGTTTTCACTAATAAAAATATATCACATTGTAAAAATATAGTAAAAAAACTGTGTTTAAAAAGTTTGAACTAATTTAGGTGGGCATATGCCTTTGATTTCCATACTTGGGAAGCAGAAGAAGGCAGATCTCCATATGTTTAAAGCCAGCCTGGTCTACATAGCAATTTCCAGGAAACCAGGGATTCAAAGGGAGTCCCTGTCTCAAAAAAAATTGGACTAATTCTTTTTGCTGTGTCATTGTATTACCAATATTACATGTAGTTTCATGTGTTTATATGTTTCTATTCAATTTTGTTCTCTTTCATCATCATTTTAATTACTTTTCAAATCTGAAAATCATAAAAAATAAATGAGATATAAGCTGGGCATGTTGGTGCATGCCTGTAATTCCAGTACTCAGAGAGGCAGAGGCAGGCAGATATCTGTGAGTTCAAGACCAGCCTGGTCTACAAAGCAAGTCTAAGACAGCCAAGGCAACACACAGACACCCTGTCTTGAAAAATAAAACAAAACCAACAGAAACCAAACAACTCCCCCAAAACAAAACAAAAACAAAACAAACAAACCAAAAATGAGATGTGAAAATAGGAGAATATTTGGGGTGAGGAAAAGGAGTAGCTGAGGCAGGGGAATGAGCAAGTGGTAAAGAGTAGACACGGTTAGATACACGTTACATACATGTATCTGAAAATCTGATGAACCCTGTCAGTTTGTGCAGCAAATAAATAGATAAATTGTTTTAAACATTAAAAGTCAAAAGTATAACCCTCTGTACCTACCTCTTCCCGCAAAGAGAAACATTTCATTAGTTTCTAGTTTAGCCTTTATGTTTTGTTTCCAAAAAATAAACAGATACTTAGAATC